ACGCTACAGCCTAATTCAAAAATTGATTAAATATTATTCTTTTTTTATCAATTTACACACAATACCCCATAATGACAAAGCGAAAACAGGTTTTTAGACATTTTTGCAAATGTATTACAAATAAAAAACAGAAATACGTTATTTACGTAAGTATTCAGACCCTTTGCTATGAGACTCGAAATTGAAGTCAGATGCATCCTGTTTCCATTGATCATCCTTGAGATGTTTCTACAACTTGATTGGAGTCCACCTGTGGTAAATTCAATTGATTGGACATGATTTGGAAAGGCACACACCGGTCTATATAAGGTCCCACAGATGACAGTGCATGTCAGAGCAAAAACCAAGCCAGGAGGTCGAAGGACTTGTCCAGAGATATCCGAGACAGGATTGTGTCGAGGCACAGATCTGGTGAAGGGTACCAAAACATTTTTGCAGCATTGAAGGTCTCCAAGAACACAGTGGCCTCCATCATTCTTAAATTGGAACCACCTAGACTCTTCCTACAGCTGGTAGCCCGGCCAAACTGAGCAATCGGGGGAGAAGGGCCTTGGTCAGGGAGGTGACCAAGAACCCCATGGTCACTATGACAGAGCTCCAGCGTTCCTCTGTGGAGATGGGAGAACCTTCCAGAAGGACAACCCTCTCTGCAGCACTCCACCAATCAGGCCTTTATGGTAGAGTGGCCAGATGGATGCCACTCCTCAGTAAAAGGCACATGACAGCCCGCTTGTAGTTTGCCAAAAGGCACCTAAAGGACTTTCAGACCATGAGAAACAAGATTCTCTGGTCTGATGAAACCAATATTGAACTCTTTGGCCTGAATGCCAAGTGTCACGGCTGGAGGAAACCAGGCACTGCTCATCACCTGGCCAATACCATCACTACGGTGAAGCATGGTGGTGGCAGCATCATGCTGTGGGGATGTTTTTCAGTGGCATGGAAAGGGAGACTAGTCAGGATTGAGGAAAATATGAACGGAGTAAAGTACAGAGAGATCTTTGATGAAAACCTGCTCCAGAGAGCTCATGACCTCAGACTGGGGCGAAGGTTCACCTTCCAAAAGGACAACAACCCTAAGCACACAGCCAAGAAAATGCAGGAGTGGCTTCGGGACAAGTCTCTGAATGTCCTTGAGTGGCCCAGCCAGAGCCCGGACTTGAACCCAATCGAACATCTCGGGAGAGACCTGAAAATAGCTGTGCAGCGACACTCCCCAACCAACCTGACAGAGCTTGAGAGGATCTGCAGAGAAGAAACTCCCCAAATACAGGTGTGCCAAGCTTGTAGCGTCATACCCAAGAAGACTTGAGGCTGTAATCGCTGCCAAAGGTGCTTCAACAAACTATTGAAATGTGATATTTCCTTTTGTTTTTTCTATAAATTTGCCAAATGTTTTTGCTTTGTCATTATAGGGTATTGTGTGTAGATTGATGAGGGGAATTTTATTTTCGAATAAGGCTGTAATGTAACAATATGTGTAAAAAGTGAAGGGGTCTGAATACTTTCCGAATGCACTGTACATGAGGCCCCTGAGCTTTCTGAAGTAAACTGTGGAGAGAATGTGAATGTCCTTTTGCCACTCTAGACATGATGTTGACTTTCAATGACAATAGACCACATCAACCTTTCTTTAGGGCGAGGAGAAATGCTCATTTCATTCCATCGACACCCCCCTCCATCAGTACAGTGAGCCTCACACTTCCTAGTTTGTCATTCCTGAAACATCCTCTATGCATACTCTGTGATCTATGCAGCATGAAAAAACAAAGTTGGTAAAAGGTCATAATAGCGCATCTCTGTATTCTAATTTTGGGGGGTTTGTATCATTTGATTTACACAACATGCCTACCACTTTGAAGATGCAAAATATTTTTGGGTGTGAAACAAACAAGAAATAATACAAAAAAACTGAAAACTTGAGCGTGCATAACTATTCACCCCCCTAAAGTCAATACTTTGTAGAGCCACCTTTTGCAGCAATTACAGCTGCAAGTCTCTTGAGGTATGTCTCTACAAGCTTGGCACATCTAGCTACTGGGATTTTTTCCCATTCTTCAAGGCAAAACTGCTCCAGCTCCTTCAAGTTGGATGGGTTCTGCTGGTGTACAGCAATCTTGAAGTCATACCACAGATTCTCAATTGGATTGAGGTCTGGGCTTTGACTAGGCCATTCCAAGACATTTAAATGTTTCCCCTTAAACCACTCGAGTATTGCTTTAGCAGTATGCTTAGGGTCATTGTCCTGCTGGAAGGTGAACCTCCATCCCAGTCACAAATCTCTGTAAGAGTGAAACAGGTTTCCCTCACGAATTTCCCTGTATTTAGCGCCATCCATCATTCCTTCAATTCTGACCAGTTTCCCAGTTCCTGCCGATGAAAAACATCCCCACAGCATGATGCTGCCACCACAATGGTGTTCTCGGGGTGATGAGAGGTGTTGGGTTTGCGCCAGACATAGCGTTTTCCTTGATGGCCAAAAAGCTACATTTTAGTCTCATCTGACCAGAGTACCTTCTTCCATATGTTTGGGGAGTCTCCCACATGCCTTTTGGCGAACGTGCCTTTTTGTTTGCTTATTTTTTTCTTTAAGTAATGGCTTTTTTCTGGCCACTCTTCCATAAAGCCCAGCTCTGTGGAGTGTATGGCTTAAGGTGGTCCTATGGACAGATACTCCAATCTCCGCTGTGGAGCTTTGCAGCTCCTTCAGGGTTATCTTTGGTCTCTTTGTTGCCTCTCTGATTAATGCCCTCCTTGCCTGGTCCGTGAGTTTTGGTGGGCGACCCGCTCTTGGCAGGTTTGTTGTGGTGCCATATTCTTTCAATTTTTTAATAATGGATTTAATGGTGCTCTGTGTATACATACTGAGATCATGTGACAGATCATGTGACACTTAGATTGCACACAGGTGGACTTTATTTAACTAATTATGTGACTTCTGAAGGTAATTGGTTGCACCAGTACTTATTTAGGGGCTTCATAGCAAAGGGGGTGAATACATATGCACACACCACTTTTCCGTTCTTTATTTTTTTGAATTTTTTGAAACAAGTTATTTTTTTCATTTCACTTCACCAATTTGGACTATTTTGTGTATGTCCATTACATGAAATCCAAATAAAAATCCATTTAAATTACAGGTTGTAATGCAACAAAATAGGAAAAAGGTCAAGGAGGATTAATACTTTTGCAAGGCACTGTATCTTATGCACATATACTACCTACTGACCTCAGACGACCTCTACTAAAGGAAGCTAAATGTTATCCAAAAGCTGGTACTTGTCGGCATGTGTGTTAATGGTTGTGAATGTTTATTGTTGTGTGTGCATGTGTGTGTGGTTGTGAACGTTTTTGTTGTGTGTGCATGTGTGTGTGGTTGTGTTGTGTAATTATGTGGTAGGGTTAGATGGGGACAGGTGCTGCTGTGCCGGCTGTCATAGAGCTGGATGTCCCTGAAGTAAGGACAGTAAAGTAGTGATTGGGGGGGGAGTTAGGGCTATTTTGAGCCTGGACCATCACATCCCTCCATCCCCTCTGAAATCAGACAGCTGACCTGCCCTTCAGCGAAACGAAGAGGACTGGAGTGACGGTCTGCTGTCCTGTAGTGTCTGTGGCAGGGTGATTAAGGGCACTCAAAACAGTTCAGAGTTCTCTATTGGTTTGGCTGCTGAGCTCCTATGATACAGGACTGAGAATAGATGTGAGTAAAGATGGAGTGAGGACTCTCCAGTTCCCAACAGGGGACAAAAGAATGAGTCTGGAACTCAGTATCTCAGCAGACTACAAGACAAGACCAACAGGAAATTAAACTCATTCTGGCACACAGTCTCTCTCACACATCTCCTATGCCCAAGCAATGATTATCTACAGTATAACACAATCTCAGACACGTGCATGGGTACACAGCACACACACAAATCCATACAGCACACACACACACACAAACACACACAAATCCATACTAACTCGCCGATATCTACAGCATGAATAACCTCACCATGAATAACTTAGCATCTATTCACTAATCAATCAACATGACAGATACATTATTAGGGCCGAGGAGTTAGTGATCTAATAACACACAACACTCTTCTTTGAATTATCGTAATATTACAAGATTTCATTTGGTTCCCAGTCAGACTAATAAAAAGCTGACCTAAGATTGGAACTGTAAATGTAATGAAAGAGATTTAATCAACCTGTAGTTCTGTGAAAACACAATTATCCATAAATCAGCTCTCTCTTTCTCCTCGCTCTCTCTCTCTCTCCTCTCTCTCTCTCTCTCTCTCTCTCTCTCTCTCTCTCTCTCTCTCTGCTCTCTCTCCTCCTCATCTCTCTCCTCTCTCTCGCTCCTCTCTCTCTCTCCTCTCTCCCTCTCTCATTCTCTCCTCCCTCTCTCTCTCCTCCTCCCTCCTCTCTCGCTCCTCTCTCTCCTCTCTCTCTCTCTCTCTCTCTCTCTCACCCCCCAGAGCTCAGAATAATCTCTTCTATGTGACAGCCCAATGACTTTATCCATCCACCATTTCCCCTTTATTCTCACACACACACCAATCCCCATAATTACATCCACAAGATCATCACTCAGCTCAAAGGACCTCAGGCGTAAACATAGCGTACCACATAGCCTATAAAATAACCAATCAAAACTAGAAATGACATAAGACCGATAGAGAGTATGAGAGTGAGTGAGAGAGAAAAAGACTGAGACAGAGAGGGCGAGAGAGAGCAAGATTCTAGAGTGATTATTCCTTCTCCTATGGCCCCCTCTTTTGGCAAGAGCTTAGAGTTGAAACTGAACACCACTACATAGGCTTATGTGTACTATAACTATGTGTTCATTTTTCAAATGTGATGAGTAGCAATAGATCAATTTGCCTGTGAGGTGGTGTTTTCTGGTGTTGGGACCTAATGTAGTGTTGTTTAGCACTAGCTGTAATAATAATACATGTAATGTTTTTACAGTAGCCTACAAGTGAAGTAGGGCTATTTGCCTGACGTGTTTATGGTTTGGTTGAGTTACCTGTGAAGTGGTGCTGTTTGGTGCTGACGCGGTTTGCGTGCTGGATGTTGCAGCAGAGATGGAGCATAGCCAGCATGGTAATGATCATCACTACACTCTGGAGGAGCAGAGTCAGTTCAAACTGCTTCCCTATCCTGTAGGTAGACAACATTACAGTGGTTAATCAAATCACAATGTCAGTGCAGACAATGCTTCTCATTTCCTCTATCCACTTCTCTATCCATGTTTCAAGTAAACAAAACAAACCTGCACTGTTGTATGCTCACAAGTGAATTGTTTCATTAGGTCACCATGTGAGCATACTGTACAATAATTTGTAGGTTTCTTCTGTTTATTTTGAACTGTTTGCTTTACATAGCTCCTGGCAGTTTCACTGGATGTGTACACTGTGCATATACCCAATGTAATCTGTCCCCAGTGAACCCTCTCTCCCCTGGCCTCACCAGAAGAAGATGCGTAGGATGTTGGCGATGAGCAGAAGCAGACAGACGCGGGTGGAGAATCCCTCAGTGTTGCTGCTCCTCTGGATCTCCTGGTACTGAGGCACGTAGGGCAGGGCCCCTCCAAATACCATCACACAGGAGGCCAGCCACGACAGCAGGGTCCACGAGCCCTCCATGTCCTCCTCCTGGATGTCCACCTCAATGTCCATCTCTAGCTAGGGCCTCAGATGGCAGCCTGGTCTCACAGTCAAACCCAGCACCGTGGTGTGGACAAACAGACACTCCTGATCATGACTGGAAGCATAGAAAACAAATAACGAACTCTAAATGCCGCTCCCTCTCTCATGCTTTGTTAGAGAACTCACCCTCTTATACATACATAACTAAAGTTACCAACACATGCACCATCTCCACTACAGCAAAATACCAAAACGAACTATCAGTTATCACCATAACGCAACAACAATTCTTAAAACATAAGTCACCTTGCCACCCACGCCTGTTCTCTCACACCCCTATCTGAATTCAGTATATCCAAAATAGCCCTCTAGTAATATGCCAATGCTTCAAGCTTGCAAGAGACCCCAAGGTTTTCCTCTTAGTAACTCAGCTCTACCCTAACCCATAAGACAGACCCTCTCACACACTTACAAAATATGGTCTCTGTCCATATCTTTGCTGGAATTCAGAACTGCTGCTAAAGGTTCTAGAGCTTTGAGAATGCAAATAGTTCTGGAACTGTCTATGAGCTGTTACCAGTCTATGAGCCATGTATTTAGAGAGTTGGGCCAACTTTTAGAATTGTGAATATTGTTCCAATTCATTCTGTTACATAGCCTTATTTAAATATTCCCCATGCAATGTTAATGGGGCGCTGCCACTGCTGCCATTGAATTTTGAAGTGTCATGTAAATGCATCATAATGCTCATTCTAGACGTTGTATTCCCCATGTAATGTTAATGAGCGCTAACAAGGCTGCCATAAAATGTTGTTGTGTCATGCAAATGCATCATAATGCAGAAACCGCAATGGCCCAACTCTCTAAATGCATAGCTCTGGCTTATTCTATTCTACTTCTATTCTAGCCCATGTGAACATTACTATTATACATACCACTACACTAAAGTACCTGCCTTTTCCATGGAGGGTAGGAACATTCTTGAAGGGATAACACACACAAAGTTGATATAATGCTCTTTCTCTTACTAGTCTCCCCCCTACTCTGTTACATAAAATGCAGAAGCTTTGCCAAATATTGAGTCCTTCTAAATATAGTCCATACAGAACTGCCAGTATTTACATAGGGAGAAACATTCTTCTTTCCCAGTTTTCCCTCTCTTTGGCCCAATCTCTAAAATGACTCTTTAGAGGTACAGTAAAACAGAGGCTCACTTTTCCCCCCTAGACAGCCTTGGGAAGAACATTGAAACAACAAAATGTAACACTGCTCCTTATATAAAAAGAGCTCTTTAGGGTGTGCTGAATAAAATATGTCCTTCGTGCATTACCAGTGAGGCACTTCAACATCGCACACACACCCTTAGGAGTTACTTCAGGGCATTGTTTCCTGTGTGGAAACTGGAAGGTTGGTATGCAAGACACTCTAAGAACAGTGTGTGTGTGTGTGTGTGTGTGTGTGTGTGTGTGTGTGTGTGTGTGTGTGTGTGTGTGTGTGTGTGTGTGTGTGTGTGTGTGTGTGTGTGTGTGTTTTGAAGGAATTTGTGTAGTCAGCTGAAGACTGTCAATTCAAAATGATGTTTTACAAGTAAAATAACTTGACCAAGAAGTATTCTCAAAACAATAATATGTTGCTGTGACTGCTAATATATAAACTCAAGGCTGTGGAAATGTTCAAGCACTACAAACCACAGGCTCATATTGTAGCAATGTTGGCTTAATAACACTTCCTCTTGTCTCTTCACTGATTGAGACAATAAGAGAATAAACAGAGATACTTAATTACCTTGACATCTTTTTTGCTCTGCATAACTCAGCTCTAATTGTCATTCAGGATTACATGATTTCTACCAACACAGGAATCCTCTCAATAAAACTTTTAGTAGGGAGACAGCAGGCAGTAAAGAAAGAGGGAACTGTGAATGCAGAAAGAGTGGGTGACATTTCACAGGAAATAGATACTTTGGTGACATTCAAAGTCTGTCAGTGAACATACACGTGTTGTCATTTCTAGTATATAATAGTTCATTAGACTGCATAGAGCAGCATGTGAAATGTGACAGTTAAAGAGCCCAAAGAGTGTCCATTGAAAAACAATCCATCACATTAAAACTGAACTAAAGGTCACTAGAAGTTGAACGTTTTTTTACTACTTTTTCAGCTGAACATCAAATCAAATGTATTGGTCACATACACATGGTTAGCAGATGTTATTGCGAGTGTAGCGAAATGCTTGTGCTTCTAGTTCCGACAGTGCAGCAATATCTAGCAAGTAATATCTAACAGTTCCACAACAAAAACCTAATACACACAATCTAAGTAAAGGAATGGAATAAGAATATATAAATAAATGGATGAGCAATGTCATTATCAGAGTGGCATAGGCTAAGATGCAATAGATAGTATAGAATAGAATACAGTATATAAACTCAGAAAAAAAAGAAACGTCCTCTCACTGTCAACTGCGTTTATTTTCAGCAAACTTAACGTGTAAATATTTGTATGAACATAAGATTCAACAACTGAGACAAACTGAACAATTTCCACAGACATGTGACTAACAGAAATGGAATAATGTGTCCCTGAACAAAGGGGGGGTCAAAATCAAAAGTAACAGTCAGTATCTGGTGTGGCCACCAGCTGCATTAAGTACCGCAGTGCATCTTCTCCTCATGGACTGCACCAGATTTGCCAGTTCTTGCTGTGAGAGGTTACCCCACTCTTCCACCAAGGCACCTGCAAGTTCCCGGACATTTCTGGGGGGAATGGCCCTAGTCCTCATCCTCCAATCCAACAGGTCCCAGACGTGCTCAATGGGATTGAGATCCGGGCTCTTCGCTGGCCATGGCAGAACACTGACATTCCTGTCTTGCAGGAAATCACGCACAGAACGAGCAGTATGGCTGGTGGCATTGTCATGCTGGAGGGTCATGTCAGGATGAGCCTGCAGGAAGGGTACCACATGAGGGAGGAGGAGGTCTTCCCTGTAACGCACTGTGTTGAGATTGCCTGCAATGACAACAAGCTCAGTCCGATGATGCTGTGACACACCACCCCAGACTATGACGGACCCTCCACCTCCAAATCGATCCCGCTCCAGAGTACAGGCCTCGGTGTAACGCTCATTCCTTCGACGATAAACGCGAATCCGACCATCACCCCTGGTGAGACAAAACCGCGACTCGTCAGTGAACAGCACTTTTTGCCAGTCCTGTCTGGTCCAGCGAAGGTGGGTTTGTGCCCATAGGCAACGTTGTTGCCGGTAATGTCTGGTGAGGACCTGCCTTACAACAGGCCTACAAGCCCTCAGTCCAGCCTCTCTCAGCCTGTTGCGGACAGTCTGAGCACTGTTGGAGGGATTGTATGTTCCTGGTGTAACTCGGGCAGTTGTTGTTGCCATTCTGTACCTGTCCCGCAGGTGTGATGTTCGGATGTACCGATCCTGTGCAGGTGTTGTTACACGTGGTCTGCCACTGCGAGGACGATCAGCTGTCCGTCCTGTCTCCCTGTAGTGCTGTTTTAGGCATCTCACAGTACGGACATTGCAATTTATTGCCCTGGCCACATCTGCAGTCATCATGCCTCCTTGCAGCATGCCTAAGGCACGTTCACGCAGATGAGCAGGGACCCTGGGCATTTTTATTTTGGTGTTTTTCAGAGTCAGTAGAAAGGCCTCTTTAGTGTCCTAGGTTTTCATAACTGTGACCTTAATTGCCTACTGTCTGTAAGCTGTTAGTGTCTTAACGACCATTCCACAAGTGCATGTTCATTAATTGTTTATGGTTCATTGAACAAGCATGGGAAACAGTGTTTAAACCCTTTACAATGAAGATCTGTGAAGTTATTTTGATTTTTACAAATCATCTGTGGGCCTCCTGTAGCTCAGTTGGTAGAGCATGGCGCTTGCAATGCCAGGGTTGTGGGTTCGATTCCCACTTGGGGCCAGTATGAAAAATGTATGCACTCACTAAAAAAACTGTAAGTCGCTCTGGATACGAGTGTCTGCTAAATGACTAAAATGTAATGTCAAATATAATCTATGAAAGACAGGGTCCTGAAAAAGGGACGTTTCTTTTTTTACATATGAGATGGGTAATGCAAGATATGTAAACATTATTAAGATAGTATATTAAGCTACAGTGAATAACTTGGATAGCCTATCCAATAATACCCAACAGAAAATGTTCCCTTGTTTTCTTCACCATATGCTTTCAGGTTAAAGAGTTTAGGTGGGCTGTCATTCAATGTCTGTATTATACTAAGCTACCTGTATTTGGATGACTTGGGTAAAACAGAAGGAAAAAAAAACACTTATGTAAACAAAGGATAAAGGGCTGGGCTACAACATGCCCCAACATAAGAGTAGGTTATTTTAACTATGCGTGAAAAAGTATAACTATTCCAAAAATACTGCTAGTTCTTCTACCCAAAATCTGTACTTTTTGTTGGTTGTATATAAAGTGAAGAACCCAGATTGTGTCTTGTGCAGTAAAGAACCTCTCCCAGCCATGATTTTCCGCCCCCATCTAAGAATAGTATCTCAATTTAAATCCCTTTGGTACATGGACTAACTGTCCTTGAGATAATATTCCCGGGGCGATGTAGTAGGCTAAATTGTAAATAGACAGGGTAATAAACGTGTAACACGGTGAAATATAAATTGAACAAAGAATACTTCAGCATAGGAAACAAAACAAAAACATTGCAGCGTGCGCACCGACAGCCTCAGGAGCCCAAGGGGTGCACTTTTTGGTTTTTCCCTAACACTGCACAGCTGATTCAAATGATCATAGCTTGTTGATTAGTTAATTATTTGAATCAGCTGTGTAGCGCTAGGGCAAAAACCAAAACGTGCACAGAGTTTGGGAAACCCTGTGACAGGCGGAGGGGTCTATATACACTACCAACGTTCCCATGGTCGGTCACGCATATGGCTTCGAATATCCCGAACAACAATAGCCTGGAAAGTGAGTAAAAATGTACTTACATTGCGGTTGCGATGTTCCCACTGGTGATTTGAATGTACCTCTTCCATTTACGCGCAAATTCATTGACAACTCCACAAGAACGCGCTCCAACTTCTTCATAGACGAGATCTATCTACTGCTTACAGTAATACTGTAGTCTTTACAATTTGACTTCTTCAACCAGTGCAACTACTATTGGCTATGGGGGAAAAAATGTATTGGAGTCACTGCATGACACGCATGATGACGATTCGTTTCTCAAATATGGTGTCTTTGTTATTGTCACAATACAGTGCAGTTATTAACAATTACGTTTTTTTCCCCTAATAGTTTTAATTTGTACACTCTTGAAAGCCATAGTCTCCCTAGTCAGTGGTGTAAAGTACTTACAACTCCATCCATTTCTCCTGACACCCAAAAGTACTCGGTACATTTTGAATGTTTAACAGGACAGGAAAATTGTCAAATTCACACACTTATCAAGAGAACATCCCTGGTCATCCCTACTGCCTCTGATCTGACAGACTCACTAAACACAAATGCTTCATTTGTAAATTGTTTTGGAGTGTGCCCTTGGCTAGCCATAATAGAAGTAATTTGAAATATTTTTTTTTACTTTTGATACTTAAGTATATTTTTGCAATTACATTTACTTTTGATAATTTAAGTACATTTAAAACTAAATACTTTTAGACTTTTACTCAAGTATTATTTTACTGGGTGACTTTTACTTGAGTCATTGAATGTATCTTTTACTTTTACTCAAGTATGACAATTGGGTACTTTTCCCACCACTGTCCGTAGGCAGACTTGTTGTCTCCCACAATGTATCAATGCTAGTCACTTTGCCTTGGGTCGGGTTTACGTGACTATGAAAACCGCAGGATTAAAATCATCGCCAGGCCATAGAGTTGGATTGAGGCGCTGCATAGCACAAAACTCAATGTTCCATATTCCTTCGGGTTCCTGCTTCAGTGTTCTCGCGATATGTGTTTTGCAAAAACAGCTGACTGACATATCTGGATTTACGGGGTAGAGCTAGGGATCCTGTATTTATTTCAGCCAAAGGTAGCTATTTTAGCTAGAGTTCATTTTACACCAATTCATAACCCGCGTGTCGTGCACAGGGAAAACATGGCAGAAACGGATCCAAAGTCAGTTCAGGACCTTACCAATGTGGTGAGTATATGACATTGAAGCTAGCTAGCCAGCCAACAAGCAGGCCTGGTGAATGGATATGTTTCGATTGACATTAGTGGATAATTTCAATAGCCTATGTAACTAGCTAGCTAAGAAATTGGATCGTACGAAATAACTCGAAAGTAGTGTATCAAACTCTAGAACGGTAAGCAAATACCATGGCTTCTACTGCTGTAGTGCCAAATGTTTTTATAACTAACCCAAGATAGACCACAGCCTGTAGGCAGAACAAGCAAGGAGGTGGGCAGACCCAAGCACGAGCTAGCGAGATCCTATTGGCGTGTTCAAGCATGTATTTGCATATGTCATTAGGGAAAGCCTACGCTGTGAAGTTCGCGTGTGCAATAATTAAATTCGCCCTTGCACTACTACTAAACATCGCAATTTTTTAACAACTTTGGCAAAGTGTAAAGTCTACAAAACATGATCCACTTGTGTTGGTAACAGAACTGTATTGAGATGAAATGTTTCATTAATGATAAAATGTGCAGAATGTCGGCCAAAATCCATCTCGCGCCATCTTTTCCCATTTCTGGCCACTGGGCTTCCCTCATCACCATATTTGGTGGTGTGGAAATGCCAACCGGATGTTTCAGATTTATACGTCCAGTGAAACGTCTGGCTCATTGTTCTGTGTTAGTGCTGTAGCTACATCTCCCAAGATCTAGACTTCACTGACTGAAAAAGGAACGCCTTCTCTTTTTAGTTAGTGATGGTTATCCATGATCACGCTCTGCATAGCTTGCTTATATAAATAAACAAAAATGCCAATACATTTTGATGTGGTTTGAATCATGCTAAATTAAAGGTTACAAAATTATTCTGAATTGACCATAATCTCTGCTGTTTTCTCTCCTTTAGTCTCCCCCCTCTGTCTTTATCTCTCTCCTCCAGTTTGCCTTTTGGATTTTCATAAATTGCTTGCAAGATGGGTCACGTTCGGTAATTGAATACACTAGATCATATCAGCCTGTGTTATGATACACCTGTTACTGCTCTCTAAAAGGTCCAGACACTGCTGCAACAGATGCAGGACAAGTTCCAGACCATGTCAGACCAGATCATCGGAAGAAATATCCTCAAAATGTTTAGGTAACTTGGTATGGACCTAGATCTTTCAAGTCATTATAAATATTGTATAACTGGGGTGTCATACCCCCATTAGTTCATTGCCAAACATAATGGTCTTTAGTCCAATTTTGATGTTTATTTTACATAAGCTAATTTGTCAAAGATTTCTGGTAGCATTTTATATTACAGCACAGAAAGAAGTGGAAATAATATTGTTATAGTATAGTAGTGCATAGGAATACATTAGATATGTTTTACCAGTTGGAGTCAGAATCTTGGCTGGGGAGTGTCTGTGAGTGGTAATCATTAATGTTATAATGGAGAGGTTTTCCAGCCAGCACATCCCACCCATCAGCGTTATCCACAGGTCCATTATCGGCCAGCCCATTGTCTTCCTTAACCATGTTCACTCGACGAGATGAGCACCCGCATCGATGACCTGGAGAAGAACATTGCTGACCTCATGACCCAGGCAGGCGTTGAGGAGATCGAGGGGGTCAAAGAGCCACAAGTCAAAGAAGGACAAGGGTCATGAAGGTAATCTAACAGCATTTTACTAAATGTTTTCTATTTCTGCTTGTTGTCAATAAATTGTTATTTGTAACGATTCACCGATACTCATCGGTCCCCGGTTCAAATGTTTAAGATACGAGTGCATCGGTCTGCAGACCCCAAATAGATCAAAATGAAGCATTTATTGGTCCGAAAATCAATTAAAACGTTACGAATCGCTGGTTTACTATAAATATTTGCATATTACTACCTTATCTTTTGTGACAACTAATGCGTCCTCTCCTTCACTGTCGAACTAAGCACGTAACTGTGTTGACAGTCATTGATCTACAAGTAATTTTGCATGCAGAACAACCCCAGGCAATATCCGTAGCCTAGTCAAACTGCGCAATGTGAGCAGCTTCATGTGTTGACCAACGAGGTAGGCCCCTTATCTTGCACATCTGTGTGCCTTCGGCGTAAAAAAATGCTTGTAAAATGGCTTGTGCAAAATGTGGCTTTATTAGTTGAGTGACAACCAATGTAATTGCTAGGTTATTGTTATCACTTCAACATAGTACTGAGTAAAGGGTCTGAATACTTATGTAAATGTGATATTTCTGTTATTTTTAAATGTGCAACAATTTCTAAACCTGTTTTTGCTTTGTCATTATGGGGTATTGTGTGTAGATTGATGGAAAATGTTTTAGAATAAAGCTGTAACGTAACAAAGTGTGGAAAAAGTCAAGGGGTCTGAATAATTTCTGAATGCATCTGTCAAAGATGCCTTTAAAAAAAAAAAAGCTAGAGGCGTGGATCAGAGAACCAGTCAGTTTCTGGTGTGACCACAATTTGCATCTTGCAATTTGCATCTTGCAGCGCGACACATCTCCTTCACATAGAATTGATCAGGTGGTTGATTGTGGCCAACATTTTTGAGAAATAATATTTTTGTGGGATCTTTTGATTTCAGCTCATGAAACATGGGACCAACACTTTACATGTTGCATTTTATATTTTTGTTCAGTGTAGAGACGTATCGAATCGCCTTGCAAGGGAAAGATGCACATTCCTAGTACTCACCTTCTGCCACTCATCCCTGTATCCAAGTTGGTAGTAGTCCTGCATATACAAACATTTCAGGTGAAAGAAAAGTTATATCATTTAAGCTGTATAAATAACCTTAATGGTGAACATCTGTGACATTTCCTATTCAGAAAGTACCACATGGGTAGCATTCACATCCTTTACTCAAATTCTAGTTTAGGCCTACCTTTTTGATGGCACGTACCAATTTTGAAGTTGATCAAATGTGTCATTGATGGACAACTAACGTTATTTCAAAATGAATAATTCAGAATTTCTCAACTTTTCTTTTGACTTGAATTGATGGAAAGTGCTCTGTTGTTCTATAGGTAGATTTGATTGCGGTTGGAAACGTAAACAATTCCATCAAAAGTTAAAGTCTCCCTAAGTGTATGCTTAACCAACTATAAAACATTTCAATTACAGGTTGCCAAGATGACAAGCTGTCAAGGACTTTCTTCAGGAGCAGCATAATCTTCCACTATAACCATGAACTATTTTGATTTAGTGTGTTGTGAAATGCTTTTTTATATTGACTATTGTAATAAAAGTAACAGTTCTTATGTAGTAACTTGATGTTATTTGTAAATTTTAGTATTTCCCTCAGAACTTTTCAGGCCTATGAGTAATGGTTGATTGAAGTATACAGTAGAAGCTAGTGATATTAGTAGCACTCTGCACCAAGTGGAATGCATATTCAACTGACTTTCTTCTATTAAAGTTATTTAATACAAACCAATCTTAGTCTCATTCTTAGAAAAAACATCAATCAACATATTGGTTTTGCTTGGAAGTTGTTTGATTTTAAATACAGCCTGAATGCCCTGAACCTATCCTATGGGGCTCTGACAGATGTGACTCCTTTCATGTGTGCATCAGGATTGTGTTGCCCTAGAGCCCTCAAAGTTAACTCTGGACCTCAAAGCCATTTCCACTGCATTTTTTTCATTGTTCCCCTCTAATCAGGGACTGATTTAGACCTGGGACACCAGGTGTGTGTGTGTGTGTGTGCAATTCATGATTCGATAGAAGAGAAAAGCAGCAGGCTCCAGACCTTGTAGGGTAAGAGTTGAATACCCCTGCCCTAGAGGTTATCTTGACTGAACAACTCTCAGCTACAACAGAGGAGGCCAGCACAATCAGACCCTATCACCATGTCCCACCTGATATCTCACTACATCCACATGGGGATGTTGGCCTACTCTATATAATTGGGGTGATAATAACATCCATGCATGGATGACCTTGGGGGAGACTTCCGCCTCTGCCATTAAGCCTCAGTGCTAATGGCATGTCTGACATGCAAAAACAGAGGCTTTGCCGTACTTTTCCTAGGACTCTTTATTCAAATGTTTATAAAAAAGACTCAAAGAAAATGTTCTCCATACTTTCTATAAGATCATCTTGGTTTACCATATAACAATGGTAAAAAAATAAAGTGCCAACAGCATTAAAACAATTAAACTTGGAAAAACGTTATGTGACGAAAGCAAGAATTCTGTAGTTCAATACATGGGCAAGTAATACCTGATAGAGCAGAGGATTAAACCTGCCTCCTAGTTTTTACATTTACGTAGAACTAGAGGGTAGAGGCTGACTTAGAACATCAAATCTGCTTCTGTCATGTCAACAGCCCAGGCAAACTTATCCCTCTGAGATTTGTTATATATTTTGTCCAGGGGCACCTCCATGTTCATACACCTATGAGGAAGGCAAAACAATGTTAGAAATGATGCACAATATTAATAACTAGATAATATACGAGTTTCAATTACATGTGAACACATTGAGGTGTCAGTGTTTTGATGCACATACCGTGTCATATTTCAGACCTGTGTGTGTGCGCCCTCACCAGGCAATGCTGAGTCATAGGTCCAGGTAAGTTGAGTTTGGAGGTGCCCAGTGCAATCTGCTTGTTCTCCTCTGTCTGTGGCCTGAGCCTCCATCTTCATAAGCTGCTCCTCACAACGCTGCACAGCCTTCTTCTTATGCTCCCCCACCCTAAACACACACAGACAGGTGTGTTCCGTCAGGATATCGTCTTCCCTTTATGAGCAATAATATTCTGTCTGTCTACTACCAGTAAGGGCCACTCACGCCTGCAGCTTGCCGTCTGAGCTGTGAGCTTTGACCTCCTTGGACAGCTTCAGCTCACTTTTGGCCAAGGCCAACTGCTCCCTCCTGTCAATTTGGAAGTAGTAAATGAAGAGAGAGGACAGACTGAAGTAAATGTTGAGCTAAAATAGGACTTGACAACATATCACCCCTCGATTTATCTCTGTATCAAATATCTGTTGATCCCCTCACCTTGGACTGGTTGGCCTTAGACTGATCAAAGGTCTTTGGCGGCGCACGCTGGTGGTTACACAGAACTACAAACGATCAGTTGGCCCTGTTGTAGGAGAGCAGCTTCTCTGCCAGGTTGTCAGTCACTGTGGAGCAACATGGAAATAAAGGACTATGAATGGTGGTGGTGAGGAAAGGGGAGTTAATACATGAGCTCACTGGTCATTACAAGATCGAGTGGATGGTTTTAATTCCGGCCACATATACAGAGCAGGAGGCAGGAAGCCCTCTTGTCTTTGGTTGGTATCTCAAACATGTAATGTGATGAGGGAGTGAGCAAATGTTTGATTACCAGACCACCAGGGAGCACTCTTCTGTAGCTCCCCTTCTGTACCTCCACAGCCCCTCCCCCTGGCCCATCTATTCCTCCCCCACCCAGATCATCTGCACTTGCAGCTACTTGCCTTTCGAACACATGCACACAGATTATTTAATTACAGGTTGCTACCCACACTGAACAGATTTAATCTTAGTGGCAATCCAGCAAGTGACACCTCTATCAACAGAAACATCCCACTATGAGGGGGATACTGGGCTCCAGCAACACAGAGGGACTAACACGCTGAGAAGAAATCTGCGAGCATACTGACTGAACACAGAACATGCTGGGACTGAGATTCACAACAGTGTTCTATACGAATGAATCATTGCTGACATTATGAGACACAGCTCCACAGCGGGATCTTCCAGGAGTTCTAAACACAGCATTTTAATTCACAGACGTTTGAATAGGTGGATGGATATGTGTGGGAAACGAATGGTATGTAAATGTTTATGTGGTGTTTGGGGGACATACTGTTGGACAGCTGTCGGAGCTGCTCCTGCACGGTGATGGATACCTTAGCAGTCAGGCCAGGCAGCAGGGAGGGACGACAGGTGCGTATTCAACAAACACGTCTGGAGGGAGGAGAGACAAACACATGTACTCACGACTTGAGGACTGGATAAAGACAGGTGTGAAAAAGTATGTCCTGAAACACTAGATGGCAGTGTAGTCCTGAGGTTTTTTAACTGCAGTCAACAAAAAATGAAAATAAGAAATAATGCCATCATCATTAAAAGTAAGGAGTAGATTAAAAAAGGCCATCTTATTACTTTCCTCTGACTTAAATGCAATTCTAAAAGTATCAGTGTAGGTCTAATCTGCCAAAGACAATAAATACATTTCCATCAACTGCACCACCACACAGCAAGGACTCTCCTCTCCAATAACAAGATATGCTTGGAGGTTAAGAGCAGGGGTCTACAGCTGTAATGACACACACCCCAATATATTTGCATGGGCGTCACATAGGCGTGTATAGACAATGAATTAACCAAAGCAATCCCAGTGAGATCCTACACTACAGTGTTGTGGACGAAGCGTAAAGGTGATGCTGGTATAATGACAATCTAAAATCTCATCAGACAGACCTGGGTCACTCAGGACACCCCCCCCCCCCCTCATACAGGGAGGCTGCTGGGTGGTGAGAAATACCTTCCTCCCCCCTCAGCTCCTCACCCCCCTCCGTTCCTCACCCACTAGGGGAGCCCATTAAACCCAGGATATATCTGCATTCTTTATCAATCTCTGGTTATGTCACCATACTTGCGTTCTAAATAGTAGGCAGT